AATAAATTATAATGGTCGTCGGTTGGACCATCCAAAAAGAGCTATAAAATATACACAAATTATATTGAATGACTAGACTAGAATTCAAAGGTCGCATGCCAATGGGTTGTAAGAATTATGGTATAACATCATTGTTGCCGCCAAATAACACCATGGATCCTTGTACAAAACAAAAATAAAAAAAAAACAAAGAATGTCATAAATTTTGTGGTGTCACCCACTCACTCCCTCCACCTTTCATACCCCTTTTTCCAACCCACTCAAGTTGTGCCCAACAAAAACAACACTTAGAGGATATTTTGTTTTTAATGGCATTCACACTCTGGTGACACTAAAGATGATACCAATGGCCCATCATCAGCCAAAGGGTAAGTGGCGGGGGTTTCATGGTTACACTATATTGAGTGTACCGAGAGATTTTGTAAAAAAAAGAAACACACAGTATGAAACCCCATCTGCTACTGATGAAGTGCAGAAAATATCACGATGATAAAATGTTGCTGGTCGCCGGCAATGACCAATGGGAATTTCGCTTGTTTTTTTTTTTTTTCAAGGTTTATACAAAAATGTTTTAATAATAATTTTTTGTTAATGAACATTTTGTGTGCTCTCGGTTTGGTGTTTGTAATGGTCATCATTATTGTTTCGGTGGCTAAGCTTTTTTTCCAAAATTACTGGAGTGGGTGTTAATTGTGTTTGTAATATTCTCAAATGTGTTGCATGCGGATTTTATATTCAAGTCATTATCATGAAGTACTTGAATCCACCTGTTTATTAATGGGGTTCTAATGTTGAAAATGTACTTTCATTAGGTGTGTATTGGTGATTAAAAAGGATATGATCCTTTTGCTGTATCATAAACACAGTGGTATTAAAACAAGTAAAAAAGCTGTAAGTTCGAGCGGGTTGAAATTTTAATACACTCCACCATTCGGAACGATTTTAACAATTTTCAAAAAAATAAAATCCGTTAAAAATTCTGTTAAAATCTTAATGATACCGAATGTAGCCGGTATAATAGGGTCTATCCGACGAAATGGACCTGTATAGGCAATTTTTGTCATAAGCCATTACAATATTCAAATGCGAAACTTGAAAAAAAAAATCGATGAATAATGTCGCTAATATCATCAAAATTCCGAATATCGGGAGGTACCGTTATATGAGGGCTATACGAGGACGTAGACCTGCAGAGACAATTCTCTATCATAGGCTGCAGTATCCATTACAAACTTCAAATACCAAATGTGAACCAATTTCGGTGAATAATGTCGCTTAAATCACCAAAATACAGAAAATTTTGGCCTATTTTACAATACCAAAAGTCCTGCAGACATAATATACATTTGACTAAAATGTTATCAACCTACATCATTTCGTTGGGAAGCTAGAGTGATTTCCACAGAAGGGCAGACGTACAGACGGATAGACGGACGGACATCGCTAAATCGACATAGAATTTTATCTTGACCAGTGTAAAATTCTGAGACTGTCCGTCTGCTGTAATCACGCTAGGGTCAGAGCGAATTAAGATAAGAAGCTAAAATTTTGCACACATCACTCTTTTGTGTGCGGGCAGGTCAAGTTCGAAGATGGGCTATATCGGTCCACGATGCCGATATTTTGATGATTATAGCCACATTTTTCCATGGAATTGTCTGAAATTCTACGCAAGGAGTTCTTTGTGAGCACTTTACCCCCTGGAGTAGAACTGTATAGATCGATATAGGTCTACGATATCGAATTTATCCCATATGACGATATCTCCCGATATTCGGTATTTTCATGATTTTAGTCAAATTTTTCAATTGAATTGTCTCAAAATCCACACAAGGTGTTCTTTCTGAGTACTTTACCCCCTGGAAGAAAAATGTCTACATACAGGCTCACGATATCGTATAGCCCGGTACAACGGTAACAATCATTACTTCCCTATATTCGGTATTTTGACAATTTTAGGTACAATATCCATCGAAAATGTTTCAGATTTTGTATTAGAAATATGTCAATGCCAGGTCTTCGTATAGGCCGCATATAACGGCACCTCCCTATATTCGGTATTTTGTTGATTTTAGCTACATTACTCGCCGGATCTTTTTTAAATTTCGTATTTGAATATTGTGATGACAAAAGTTGCCAATACAGGTTCACGTCTTCGTTTAGACTAAAATACGACGGCTATACTCGGTGTTTTTAAGATTTTAACAGAATTTTGAAATTTTATTTATTATTTTTTTTTTTTGAAAATTTCCAAATTCGTGCCAAATGGAAAAGGGTATTCAAAGTTCGGCCCGGTTTCTGGTTAAGCGAAAAATTTAGATATAGATAATTGTAAAGAATCACTGATTTGTTTCGCAAATTATGATAGATAAATGTATTGAAAAGTGTGACCCTTTGTGGGTGAGGTACCGGAAGGGGTTGGCAGATATCTATCATCATCACAATAGACTTTGTGTTAGCAAAAATGTTCGGATGTGTGAAATTTGAAATCGGATTTTCCTTTCTCTTTCTGTGCAGTCAAAAAATATTTGTTTGAAAATTTCGACCTTTTGTGAGAGAGGTACCAGAAGATATGATCCGATCTCTACCATCTTTATAACAGATCATGTATTGTTAGAAATATTGAGATGTACCAAATCTGAATGGAATCGGATGTTAATTTCACATTTCACGAGCTGCATGGATGTTCAAAATGTTGACACTTTGTGGGGGAGGTACCAGAAAGAGTGGACCGATGCATTGCATCTTCACACCAGGTCTTGGGTTTATAAAAATATTGGGATGTGTGAAATTTGACGACAATCGGACTCCTATATCACATTTTATATGAGTTTGATCCTATGTGAGTTATTGAAAATTTTGACCCTTTGTGGGGAAGGTATTGATGGAGTGGACCGATATTGTCCATTTTCGCACTTGACCTAGCACTTATGCAAATATTGGGATTTGGAAAGGTGAAGCAAAATCGAATTATCCATTCTCTTTCTGTGCAGTAAAATGCTATTTTTGAAAATTTCGACCTTTTGTGGAGAAATGGTCCGATCTCTATCATCTTTATAGCAGATCTTGTGTTGATGGACACATTGAAATGAACTAAGTCTGATTACCCTTTCTCTTTCTGTGCAGGAAAGTATTTTTTGACAATTTCGAACTATTGTGGCGGAGGTAACGGAAGAATTGGACCGATATTGCCCATGTACGTACTCGATTTAAATTTGATTATAATATTGCAATGTACAAAGTTTGGATCAAAATCGGAAACTCCCTTCGAGAGTCATCGTGCGCACCACAAGACAGACAGACAGACTGACGGACATCGCTAGATCGACTTCAAATGTCTTGAAACGGATTTGGTTCAAAGAGACCTAGAGGTCTAAAACCATTGTGATATGAAACCTCTGTTGCCATATGACTAAGGGTATTATAATTGTTTGTAACGAGTGGTTTGCCCGACTACCAATCAGAAGATCGCCAGTTCAAGCCGACCATCAGGCAAAAAGATATCAAAACAAAGTATGAAGCGCGGCGAAGTTAAAAAAATATCAACGGTGGAGTTTTAAAAATAAATATTTTTTTTTGTTGGCTCTTGGTGTCAGTTTGGTAAGTTCCTACATCTTACGATATGCCCATGTTACAAGTATTAAAAAGTTACTTACTAAACCAATTATTTGGTAAGGGCATTTTTGCTAGGAAGTCACCGTACATAATAAGGTTTTCCGACGCTGAGTTTCGAACTTACAACCTTTGGCTTTGCATCCGGATCCGAACTTTAACATCGGTTTAATGGTTTATGTGACTCTCAAATTTTTGCTGGGTCATTGTCTGGTTAGTTTTACTGAGGAGGTTTTCTATCCCCCCTGCATTGTACTTATCGGATTTTGAACTCAGATAAGGTGGTGTGTTTTTTTTTTTTAAACAGGGGGCATGGTTTTTGAGAGGTTTTTATGAGTTTTAGTGCTGCACACTTTGGCTGCATATTCCCATAATAGCAGACCTCTTGCAGTTCACAGTAGGTCAAAACAATCATAACTTTAAATTGTGCTTGCATTTTGGCCTCTACCTCCGGCAATAATCATAAAATCTTCATAAAACTCCTATACATAAAATGTAATTTATAAGAGAACTAAGACTCTTTTATCTGCCCGTCCATGGCTAATAGTTGTTGTTTCGATTGTCTGTCTGCTCTGACCATGGGCCATGTAATAAAAATCTTGACAACTCGTAAGGAGACACAACGTAGCGTAAAGGAATCACATCACCATAAAAATAGATATTAACTTCGATGGCGCCAGGATTATTGGCAACCAAGGATATTAGAGGGAACACAAATAACACAATCTGGGCAAAGAAAACGACATAAAAAACCACACAACACAACCACCATTAAATGTCTACAAAAAAGGAAGCTAACCGCACAGGAGACAGTCAGGCACACAATGACAGACAGACAGGAAGAGAAGACACAAATTGCAGATACATACACGCACGCACGCACATGTAATTCTTATCGTTTACAGATGAGTGTTTTCCGGATTTTTGTAAAATAAAATATAAATCTGTAGACCAATTAGAAAAAGTTGTAAAAGTAGAAAATATTTGAATGGAAGTTGGATTTGAATACTAATTTAAGAAAAAAGTGAGGGATATTGTCTTGCATTGAAGGTAAGGGTATTGGATATTTTGTTGGTATTGTAGAAAATCGAATTTGGGGGTGGGTTTTGTTTTTTGGGGGGGTTCCAAAAAATAATTTTTATTTTTTTTCATATTTATTTTGTTTTTTTTAGATTCTAATATTTTTCCTTCACAATGACTAGACTTTTATACCAAAAATTAATGAATTAATTCATCTAAAGCAAGTATTAACAATTATGTTTATTTTGTTGCTGTCTATTTCCCCTTATCTTATCAGCACAACACACACCGACGACAACAACAACAAAAACAATTCGTGGCACAATTTCTGAACTACCTTCATTTTCTTCTTCTTCTCAAGACTTTACCTTTTCAATGACATATTGTGAATTTATCTCCTTCATGATGAAATTGAATTGAATTTACATTCCACGTCGTTATTCAAGATTTTTCTTTTATTTTTGTAATTAAATGCACAAAATGATTAAAATCACAAAATTTCCATGGAATGGCTACAACTTTTCAGCATTCCTTAAACAAATGACACAAACAACACAATTCTTTTACACACATTTTCTTCTCATTTCGTTTTTTGAGAAATAAAACTCCCGAATGACCGGTAAATTTAATTTGTTTGTCAAAACTTTAATAATAAATCTAAATAATTTTTTTCTATTTCCGTTTTGTTTTTTTTTATTTTTCTTCTTCAATTTTTTTTCACAAAAATCCAACTAGAACGCGACACACTCACTAAAGTTAGAATTTACAAAGAAAAAGCCGGCAGCGTTCACTCGTCAATGGGACCCAGGCAAGCGAAGAGAGGGAGAAAGAAAAACGGTAATGTTGTTATTTATCAACCACTTTAAAAAATATGATATCAAAATGGTTGAATGGAGAGTGGTAGAGAATGAGGAGGAAGAGAGGTCATTGTTAAACACAGTGTGAGAGGAGAGAGTGTTGAGTTAAAGCAAGAGAGGGAGGGTGGTTAATACCAACGTGTTATAAAATATGTGTTTACTTGAGGGTGGGTATGCGTTAACAGTAACCCCCCTTTTGCGGCTCTAAAGACATTTCTCCCAAATGCAGTTACGGTAACAGTGACACGCACACACACACACACGAAGACATAGATGAATAATTAAAATCAGAGATGGAATATTTGGTATTATTGTTTTCATTCAAGAAGGTACCATATCATTAAACAGTGAGGGAAAAGTACTATTTAACAAGTAAAAAACAACTAAGTTCAGCCGGGCCGAACTTTGAAGACCCTCCACCATTTTAAAGAAACTTGAAGATTTTCAAAAAAAAAATCGTAGAAAAATGCCTTTCAAATGATAACTCGTATGTGGGGACTATACGAAGACGTGTTTTTTCATTTTTTTCCATAGGCTGTAATAGCCATTACGAACTTCGAATATAAAATTTGAAACAATTCCGGTGAAAATGTCGCTAAAATAATCAAAATACTGAATATATCGATAAAATCGTCAAAATATCGAATATAGGGAGGTATCCTCATATAGGGGCTATACGCAGACGTGGACCTACTTAAGCGATTTTTTAGTACCTATTACGAATTTTTAACACGAAATTTGAAATAATTCCGGTAAAAAATATCGCTAAAACATCAATATACCGAATATTGAGAGATACAGTTATATGGGGGATATATGAAAACGTGGACCTACGTGGACGTACCATTTACGAATTAAAGCTGATTACTGTTAAAATACAGATGTGTGGAAAATTACAACAGACAGACAGACGGACATGGCTAAATCGACTTAGAATTTTAGGCTGTTGGGTCTGACATGAGTATTTCGAGGAGTTACAAACGGAATGGTAAAGTAAATATATGGGGGATGGTATAAAATTAGTATCATTTTGGAATGTATAAAAGAGCAGTGAAATTACTGACTGACTGAGAATTAATCCTTCTAAAATTATGCTTTGTTGGAGATTTTTGCATAAAATCTCGAAAAGTATAATTTTAACCCTAAAATGTTTCTTTTTATATGGTTTCCTGGCGTTTAGGAAAGATTTAGGCTCTTGTCGTATGCATTTTATGAAAACTAATTTTGTAAAATATTTTGCCTTGCTACGGTCCCGTTTAACGAGGAATTCTTAACAATATTGTAAAAATGGACCAAAAAGACCCCTTTTTTAACTCGCTTCAGGGTTAACATTTCCAACAAATATATTTCTCGTATATTTATCTGTTATATTGCCCAAGACACTTTGTACTTAAAATAAGCGGATTCCGAGAAATCTTAATTTGAAAACTTGCAGGAGTTATGAAAAAGGGGGATATTGTCCCTTTATCCAGGTTATTTTGCGATGTAGTTTTTGAAAAAAAAATAAATAAAATTATCACACAATGTTATTGGCATCGAAAAGTAACCACATTTTGAGAATCAATTTATAAAAATAAAAAATATGTACGAAATATATATAAAATAAAATCTTTCGAAAAATATTCCTTAAAAATTCTCAACCACTCGAAGAAAATTTTAAAATATGCTTTAAAAATTATTTATAAAAAACTCTTAGATTTTGAAAAATATAAAAAAAACTATTCTCAAAATGTTCAGGAAAGACTTTAGGAAATCTATGAATACTGTTTGTAAAGCATTCTTAAACAGTTCACAAAATTTGCTCTCAGAAACATTTTAATAAATCAAAAAATGCTGTACTAAAAATTACTTTCAATGAGTCTTAGATATTTTGTGAAAAATAGCTACGGATATTAAAAGTAACTGTCACATCATTTGGATATTTTAAGAACTCAACAAGGGAAAATTACCGTTCTACTCGAATTTGCTTCCAATTTTGTACAACTGTTCAATACATCAAAATTTTCATAAAAATATAAAACCAACAGTGGTTACCACTGGCTGTTAGCTGTGGCTACTAAAAAAAAACATATGCTCTTTGTGGCATTAACGAATTCCATAAAACTGGTAAGGGTGGCTGATAAATAACAGATACGCTTAGACGGGGTTGTTAAACGATTTTCAAATAATTTTCTGTATTGATATTTATCTGTTGGAACGGTTGACTCATATTCTTAGCTGTCAAAAAGTGACAGGTTTTCTTTTTTTAGATGCAAAGAAAGTCGAAAACAGTTAATGTAAACATTGACACAAGAGTGCAATCTCCCAAGTGCTTCACAAATAGAATGTGAACCAACAATTATTCTGGGCTAATACAAAATTGAAGTTGTTTTTATCAATCTCTCCCTTTGTTTGTTGACGTCTAACTTATCGGCCAGTACCTATGACTGATAAGAAGCAATACTTCTTTTTGACTACGTTTTTTGTTTCTGTTAATAGCGAGAGTGGTTTGAACTGAAGTATAATATTCTGAGTTGTGCCTTCTCATTTTACAGTTCTTTAAACGGTGACGTCATATATTCATTAAAAACCGGTCTTGTTACCGGTAACGTGTATTCAGGTAGAATACCAAAACATGTGCATTGGTAATCTACATAGAGAGAGAGAGAGGGAGTGTAAAATTTAACAACACCATGATCATAGAGTTCATGAGAGAAAAGTTGTAGAGAGGGGAGAGAGAGAGAAAATGAGGGAACAGTTATTAATGAGGGATTGCTTGACTGTTTATTTGTTGTACAGGTGAACAAAATGTGTAAATAATAAAAACTATCAATAACTATATGTGTTCTCGGTGGTTAGGGTTGCCAAGTAAATTAATGGCGAGAGAAAATTGGGAAAATGTAGATCTTATAATATTTTACATTAGAAATTTTTCGAATGATTTTAATAACAAATATTAACCAGAAGAATTAAATATTGGAATTAGTATTGACTGGTAAAAGTTATGTGGTGTTTTAAAGAACGCCCTCAGAGCAAGCAGAGCGAGAGTGAGATTATCCTATTTATTCGATAATGTAATTTGTAATCCCCTACACTAAATTTGAGATTCTAAACTTTCCATTTCTAATTCAAATGATTTCATTCCAAATTCAAAATATTGTAGTAGTAATTCGAATCATTTTATTTATAATTCAAAAAAAGCAACTACGACGGCGTGCCACCCACACGTATTTGTATATCCTGCAACACCATGTGTTGGGGGTATTATACGTATGATTGGGACAAAAAATAAGTAACACCACGACATATTGGTCCAAGACATATGATCTTATATCTGGATCTTCCTATCTCGCAGAGCTGAGTCGATCTAGTTATGTGTGTTCGTCCGTCCGTCTGCCCATGTTCAATTGTAATCACGCTACAGGAAGCAATTATGGCCCGATCTCCACGAAACTTTGCATGGAGGTGGAGTTAATATATATAAAGCTATTGCTTCTGAAGATGGACCAAATTAGATAGTTTATTGATTTTTCAGTTGCTCTAGGGGCCAGAATAATAGAGAAATCGACTAGTCTAGAGTTTAGGACTGAGAGTTTCGATGGCCAATTTAAATGGTAATCAAATAATATTTAAAGGGTGAAATAGACAATAAATTTTATATTAAATAATAATTAAAAAGCAGTAAGTTGGCCGGACCAAAACTTGAATACATTAAAAAAAACATTAACAAAAAACCGTTAAAAATTCTGTTAAAATATTAAAAATACATAATATAGAGAGTTGCCGTTATATTGGGGTCTATACAAATACGATCTGCCTAAGGATTCAAAGGAGGATTCAAATACGGAACTGGAAACAATTCCGGTGAATGATGTCGCAAAATCCTCAAAATACCGAAAATTAGGGGGGTACCGATATATGGGGGCTACACGAATACCTGAATCTGTCACATTATTACGAATTTTCAATATGATATTTGAAACAATTCCGGTGAATGAACGTACCTAAAATCGTCAAAATACCGAATATGGGGAGGTGCCGTTATATGGGGGCTATACTAAGACCTGGACTTGCATAGAACATTTTCTGTCACAGACTGCAATACGAATTTTCTCTACACAATTTAAAACAATTCCGGTGAATAATGTCGCCAAAAATACCGAATATGGGGAGGTGCCTTTATATGGGGGCTATACGAAGACCTGGACTTGCATAGCCAATTTTTTGACACTGGCTGTAGCACCCATTACGAACTTACAATAAGCAATCTGATACAATTCTCTTGAATAAAGTCGCTGAAGTCATCAAAATACCGAATGTCGGTACCTCCCTGACATATGAGCCTATATGAAGACCTGGACCTGCATAGAACATTTTCTGTCACAGACTGCAGTACGAATTTTCAATAAGAAATTTAAAACAATTCCGGTGAATAATGTCGCCAAAATTACTGAATATGGGGACTATACGAAAGACCTGGACCTGCATAGCCAATTTTTTTTTTGTCACAGGCTGAAGCACCAGCTACGCACTTACAATAAGCAATTGGATAAAATTCTGTTGAATAAAGTCGCTGATGTCATCAAAATACCGAATACAGGGAGTTACGGTTATATGGGACCTATACGAAGACCTGGACCTGTATGAGCCACTTTCTGTCGTAGGATGTTTTACCCATTAGGAACCTCAAATTACAAATTTAAAACATTTCCGGTCAATAATGTCGCAATAATCATTAAAATACCGAATATAGGAAGTTACCGTTATATGGGGGCTATACGAAAACCTGAACCGATAGTATGTTAAGTATTATAGGAGACATCATCTATAGTTCAATTGAAATGTTATTCCGTTGAATTTTCATTAAAGAAATATTTGACTCTACATTATGTCATGTAAATTGTCCTTGTACAGTACATAAGAAGCATATTCCGTAATTAGGCATGTGATTTTCCGTTGGTGGATAGTTAAAAGAGCACGAATATTTGG